AGGAAAAGTCACCAAGTTTGGCCTTTCTACGGCTAGCCGTTCAGACGCTAGGTGACATCAAAGTTGCCGCGGGCATTTTTAGCCCCCCCCCCGGTCTAGGTAGGGTTAAACACGGCCTAAGTGCCAAAAGACTGGTTATCCAGCTGTTGTAATAGATAAAACACATAAAGTCAAAATCGCGATCACATGACTTCTCGATGGAGCGGTCATCGTGAATACCGCGAAATTATAACCACCACGACATTTCAATATTTACAGCACCTTCGCCAAAAATGTTAGCTTTTTTTTAGTAGCGTTTGCGTGTATGCGTATATTGTGTACATGTGTATGTATGTATGTATGGTTGTGTGTATTTATGTATGTGGTTTAGCTCAATAACTCAGGAAGATTTTGATGGATTGTCATGAAATTTAGTAGGTGAGAAGGTCTTGATGAGACCTAGAAATGATTAGATTTTTGGCTTCCTGGCGGCTTGCCTTGGTACTGCAGTAGAATTTTTTGGTTTTAATATCTCGCGATTTTGACATGCTAGGGTCACGAATTTTGGATGGTAGATAGCTCTTGGGGAGGGAAAGGAGTGACATGAGTTTCGGCTCCCAGCGGCTTGTTCTGAAACTAAAGGAGAGTTTGTTGAAATATCTTCGAAGGAGGATTACTCAAGAACCGGTTGACGGATTGTCGTAATTTCTGGTATGAGGGTAACTTAGGTGAAGAGTGACAAAGATTGAAATAAACTTTCAAAAATTCTAATGAACAGGCACAGTCTGCTATTAATAACCTTTAATAATAACCTCTGCTAAGTGAATCACACTGTAGTATGATTAAGATGAAACAGGCAACAGGCCAACTCGCGCATTTCCGCCAAAAGCCCGGGCAAGCTCCCAATAGACTGGTTATCTAGCTGTAGTACTACCTAAAACAAATGACATTCGCGATGTCATGACTTTAGATAGAAACAACGTATTTTTATCATTTTTGGTGTAAGTAGCTGGGAGAGAGTTGTACATAATTAAATGCAAATTATGCAAATGATGACTTAATTCTATAATTAAAGTGTTTTACATAATAGTACTTTTATACATCATTCGTAGCGATGGCAAGATGACAAAGTTGAGACGGAATTCAACCGGTTTCGACTTTTTATTCAGTGTTTATCAAGAATGACAGAGATCGGACCTCTCCTTCTTTTATACTTTTACCGTGCCTCTCTTACGCAGGGCGCTCTGCTCGAGTAATTTTATACAATCATGTTATCTATTTAATCTGTGGTAGTTAAAATGTCAACAGAAACCAGTTATGCAAATGATGACCTAATTTGCATAATTAATGTAAAATTATGTGAGTTCTTATTGGTGAATGATACGAATCTTATACCTTGTGCCATGTGTAAGATAAAGGTTAACACCACTATGCATATATTATGTTAATGTAGAAGTCATTTGCAAAATTACTGAGGACATGTTGAAATGAAGTATGGCAATGGAGAGGAATTTTACATTAAAATAGTGTCATTGGAATTTAAAAAAAACATAAATTAAACTAGATTATGATAATTGCGACCTTATTTTCAGAGTCAATGAGAGAAATAAAACAATTACGAAAACCAATATTTCATGGTGGTATGAGGTCTCCGAATGATTGTTAAATCAGTTCAGTTAAGTGAAGTAAAATTCTATGCCAAGAGAAAAACTATTTAAAGACATATAGGTTATACAATAATTATATGGAACATCTAATTTCTACAAAAAAAAAAACCTAATGGTTTATCATCTAGTGCACATATTGTAAACAACAGCCCTTATAAAACAGCTTATAATCTGACATTATGCGGGCTGTAAAACGCTGACCTAAACGTCTGGTTGTGGTTTGAAAGGATGCTTAACTTTTAAACGTTTTTTTGTTTTTACCTGTGGGGCGGAAGTATTGTTTTGGGCAATTCTGGTTTGTTGTAACTTGTCCAGAACATTGTGAGGATTCGGATTGAGCGGTCGGGGATTGCATTTGGGTTTCAGTTGACTGCCAGGGTTGTGTGAGAAACAAAAAAAAATGTATAATATAGTTTTCTTACAAGTGTGGCGTGTTTCTGATTAATTCTAATTACCGTTTCTGCATTTTTGCATCTAGGTAAAGCCAAGTCACCTGCAGGATATCGTAAAAAAAATGTTACAAAGTAGCTTACGCGCAAAGATGATGGCCTATGTGACGTTTTGCTCCGTCTTCCTACTGGTCAGCCTGATTCCATCTGTCCAGGCCGGCCGAGAAGCGGGGTTTTGGGTTGAAAACGTCACAATACCTGAGGACGAGTCTGTCGGCAGCACAGTCAAGCACCTGCGAGACTTTCTTAACGTCGGCGGTGGCCTAATGGAAGAGGAAAATGGAACGTCGTGGTCAGTGAACATCACAAGTGGCAACGATCTCAGACGGTTTGAGGTTGTTGTTGAGCATTTGACGCTAGTCGTCGCAGCACCGCTGGACTATGAGTATAACCCGCGGTACAACCTGTCCCTAAAGCTGACAAATACTGGAGACAACAGCGTTTGGCATGTAAACCTCGTCATCGTGATCATGGACGTGTGGGGATACCCGCCATACTACAGCAAACAGTGTGAAACACCAGTTATACCTGTAACTGGGACGGCTGAGAACTATGTCGTACTGAGCAGCCCTAATGGGCAATTCGATGTTGTAATTAATGGCGAAGAACGACAGTACCCAGACTTTTTTTCCCTGATAGAATCCCACGATGCTATCATGAACGACTGCTCCCTTCGGCTGTGTTCTACTTTGAACCCAACGTGGGAAGACCTGCTCCGCCCGGCTCTTGAGACGACTCATGAGAATGGAGGGAGGATAGAGTTTCAATGTCGCGACAGACAGTTAAGAAGTGCGGGCAAGTTTATATTTTTCGATGTTTCGAAACAAATGTTGCCTGAGTGGGCACAGGTAAAAATGTGTAGCATGACAGAAGGTTATGCTGTAGTTGTTAAGATGAATAAGATAAGATCCACGTCGTCCTATTGGACACAATGTAGCGCTAACGTCACAGTTTACTATGCGACATGGCCCGTTGATTTTACATTTCATTACGACATTACAGGGTGTCCCGAGGGCAGGTACGGTCTGTACTGTGACAAAGACTGTGTTTGTAAGAACGGGGCCCGGTGTCATGGCTTTAACGGTGCCTGTGAGTGCCGCCCGGGCTGGAGAGGGAGGGCCTGTGATATTCCCTGGCCTGAAGTTGTCATCATAGCGTCACCTGGCGATTCAGTCGTAAAGTACATCGGTACTAATCTGACATTGACCTGCCTGGCTCCACACATCCAAGTAGCTAGTATGATGTGGGTTTATGAAACAGAAAACTATTACAACGATACAAAAATCATTGTAGAAGGGGCGGTACAGAACAGTTCCATCAACTTCCAGCAAGTCTCAGAATCAGACAACGGTGGTTATACTTGCGTGGTAAAAGCTGTAAATGGTGGAGTAATTAATGCAACCTTTTCCCTCAACGCCACCAAATGCCGACCTAACTATTATGGAGAGGTTTGCAGCCAAGTGTGTGACTGTGAGTACGGAGGGACGTGTGACAGGTGGGAGGGGTGTCTGTGTCCTCCCGGCCGTCGTGGAGACAGGTGTCAGCACACCTGCGCACCTGGCAGTTTTGGTTGGAACTGCAGCATGACATGTCAATGTCAGAACAACTCTGTGTGTGATGCAGTAAATGGGACTTGTAATTGTTCGGAAGGGCAGTCAGGCGAATTTTGTGAAATCGGGACCAAATCAGAAAATAATCAAGTCGTCTTTATAGTTGTGGCGTCCATTCTTCCTGCTATTGTTATACTTGGCTGCATCATAATTGTGACCATGGTAAAACAGAGGGTCACAAATTGGAGCGGGCTACATACAATGAACAGAGAGGACATAGAAATGGAGCCTCTGTCATCATGGGAACTAGACAAAGAGGACATCTGTTTTGAACACATGATAGGCGAGGGGGAGTTCGGCCATGTAGTACGGGGAAGACTGCGCGTGCCGGAAGGCTACCAAGTTTTGGTTGCCGCCAAAAGTATCCGGCCTGACCGCATGACGGCGTCTGCTGTCCGCGACTTTCGCCGCGAAATGGACATTCTCGCCAGGATCCACGAAGACAAAGAGGGACACCCGAACGTGGTGAAGTTTTACGGAGTTCTGACTAAATCAGATCCACAGTACATTGTTGTAGAGTACGCGGCTAATGAGGAACTGCGCCGGTACCTGTGGGGTTTGAGAGAACAACTCAAAGTCACAGGAGAAAGGAAACTGTTTGAACGTCTCGGTTTTGCTTCTGGTGTGGCCAGTGGGTTAGAAGAGCTGGCACGTCTGAAGATCGTTCACCGAGACATCGCGGCCCATAATGTCGTCATCAGTGACAGGAAGGTGGCTAAGATCGCGGATTTCGGACTATCGCGTGACGTTTACACGTCGTCGGCGTACGAACGCACTAACCAGAGCGGGGAGGAGGAACTGTTGCCGCTGAAGTGGATGGCCGTGGAGTCGTTACGGGACGGGGTGTACACGTGTGAGAGTGACGTGTGGTCGTACGGCGTGCTGCTGTGGGAGATCGCCAGTTTTGGGAGGAGCCGCGCTACGCTGGAGGCCCCATGCACCCGGACGTCTGCACACTGTTGGAGCTGCTGAAGAAAGGCGTCCGTCTGCAGCAGCCGGAGAACTGTCCGCTGCCGGTGTACCGCATCATCAGGTCCTGCTGGATAGTAGACCCCTCCAAGCGGCCGACGCCTGAAGTGCTGCTGCAAAAGATAGACCAGTTAAGACCACCGAGGCATGCGGCCCACCTCGTTAATCATGGCATGACATGGCAGTAAAGCATCAGCTATTAACAAGCAAGGTCTAATGGACTGCCCTAAATCTAATACAAATGAGAAAAAGACTTCATAGCCTTTCTTCTACATAAGGACCTCATTGTGTAGCAGATTATTTCCTTGAAGTGAAATACAAAGTAACTGTGAAGCATATATTATATGGGCGCGATGTACATCAATAATCCACGTCGCCATAGCCTGGTTCCCAGCACTGTTAGCCCACGGACGTTATAAAGGCACATAACATGTCATAACTTAGCCAAACAAGGCTGGCATCCCTGCTAACCTAGCCAGACGTTATGCGTCAATTTTCTTTAATGACTATTAATTAAAAATTATCGGTTATAACAGGACTGCACAAAAGGAGTAGTGGTACTAGTAGTAGTATTAACCCGACAGTAAGGAATATTGTTGTTGTATATATGTTTAGACCAAACCTGCTATCCTGACTTTAAAACTTAAGTCTTTCGTTAGTGTTAAAGATTATTGTATACTGTCATAATTTCAAGTATGGCTAACTTTAAATTTTCTACATTAGCTATATGATACTCTACTTTAAAGCGAATAGTGAGTGCTGTGTAATAGTAGATTTATGAATACTAGTAGATTTATATGCAGAACTATAGAAACACAGGAAACATGTTTATTAGGATTTGAGAATCTTAACAATTTTTTAACAAGTATGATATGCCTATAATACTTATGTATCAATTTTACGTGAAATGTCTCGTTTTTCAAAATCGGTCTGTATTTTACATTGCAAAGTAAAAGTACGTGATGTAGTAACAATGTAACCCACTTACCGTTTGCGGTATTCTTGAATATATTTCACTTGTTATTTTATTTTATTTTATGTCTTCTTTTTGACATTACAGTACAAAGGTGATAACATGAATGTCATAAAAACAAACATACAGTAAAGTATATTAGAGATTGAAACCCGACGTTAAACCATTCCTTTGCTATCTTCACCTCGTGCACTCCAGGATGTTTAAGATTGCTGACAGGAAATGCCAGTTTTAATCCATCTTC